TTGGGGTGATATCCACTAGGCCTCGAGCCTGTCCCCATCCTCCTGTGTCCTGGACCTCTCAGTACAACTGCCTACCTGGGTAGCAGCCAATGAAAACCTTCTTTGCATGTGGGGAAGAAATATACGCTTCAGCAGCGTCCTTCCAGCATTCCAGGAGGACATCTGGCAAAGTGGAGGGGGAGTGTTAAACACAGAGCTCCCCAAAGACACAGAGACTAACAGTTCTGGAGAAATCCAGATATTGTTAGAAACAATATATTAAAGTGTTTTATTATTTAGTTACTTCTTGCCTGAGCATGAAAAAGATATTAACAGACTGTCAGCTTACTGGGACATAACCCAAAATAACTTACATTTCTCATATATTGCTAATTATTTTCCTGAGGCTGGCTCAGGCTGGGAAGAGAGATTTCAGGGCTTTCACTAGATTATTTACTTAAAGAAGTTAAGCATGCCATTATCTGTTCCCATGGAAACACAGTAAGTAAGACAGGAGACAGAGGAGGAGGTCACTTTGACCATAATTAATGTAAGGAATAATGGTTTATATAGAATCTAGTAAAGGATACAATGAGGTGCTGTAATACCTTTAAGCCTTTTCTTCAGCAGTGCAATTTAATCTTGGGATCAATTTTCATACACTTGATGGTGTCACTTCAGTTAGTTTCATTAGTGCTAATTTTTGAAATATTACTTACTCTTGCTTAGCAAAATTTTTCTAATGTTGTTAATTTCATTTTTGATCCAATCAGAAAATCCCAGTGTCCAAAATTGTTCTAAAGTAGTAAGTAACTATACATGGATGACTGTACTGGCCTTAACCTTCCTGCAAATGCTACAGCTCCCTGCCATGTTCCCTCAATAAATGGTTGATTCGTGAATTGGTTATGATAATTCAGAGGCACCACTACATTCAATAGTGCCTTTAAAATATATAAAAAAGAAATTTAATTATGTTCAATACAGTTTGAATTTAAGGTATCTAATTTTTTTTTTTATTATTGGGAATTGGTGATTTGCATGGGTGACTCTTAGTCAAATATCCTGTTTATCGGCACCCACTGTACTCCCTGGGGATTCTTGCCAAAAGATGCATGCTGTAGTTTATTTTTAATCCTTGTGCTTATTTTTAATAGTGGATTTGTTGTACAGTTTCTTAGGGTAAATTTCATCTTGAAAGCTTGATGACACATTTTTCAAAACTCTTTAAATTTAGTATGGTATTCCAGAAAGCACTAGAGAAAAAAATAAATAAATAAGGAGTTGACATTTCAAGTTTCTGAATTTTTAACATAGTGGGAAATTATTTTAGGTCGGAAATTATTGGGATTTTTTTCTGCTAGAGCTTTGGTCCAAGAAACATAATGTTGCCTCTTCCAGGCAGCCTTGTCTAAGGAACAGACTCAGGGCTGCAACATGACACTGTAGTGTTTAAAAGCAGGTGGCCTGAAGTTAAGTGGAGTCAATGTACGATTTCCCACCCTTTAGGAGATAACTACTTGCTGCCACATGAGTAAACAATTTTTTTTGTAAATATCAAGCTTGAAATCATTTAATCAGAAGTGTAAATCAGTTGTATGCCCCAATTATAAAAATGTTGACGAGATTGGCTATAGTATTGATTTTTTGGGGGGCGGGGTGAGTAGGGGGAATTACAGCTGTTGGTTTTTATAATGTATAATGATATCATATTTCTATTCCTGGAATGCAAACAGCATTATATCCTGCTTGGCAGGCACAATGGTCACTTGGCTTAGCCAAGAATAAGAACTCTCAGCAGTAACATTCCACAGGCTTATAAGACAGCCCCTAAAATAATAGATGGTACACTTTCCTATATGTATTTATGTTCAGACAATTTATTTAAATAATGCTACTGGCACATGCTTTATAGATGCTTGCATTTTGCTACACAGATTTCAGCATATCTTGCAGACTATGCAATTCATTTGGAAAATGTAATTTCCATCCCTGCATACTAATCGATTTCTTCACAAACACCTGCTATCAGTTATGATAATAAAAATGCCACTCTGAATTGAAAAAGGGCCAAATAGAGCTTCCTAAGGAAATGACTTAAGTGCCTTTGAATGCTACTAAATGTAGTAATGTGCTTCTGTAGCGCCAACACTTTTTTCATCATTTGCATTTTCTGTGATTTTGCCCTATTACAACATTCCTTTCACAAATGATGCCTCATAACCATTTCCTTATGGATCGGTAAACTGAGTTGTCAGGAGATGGTATCTCAGGGTGTGGGCAAGATCCGAAGTTGGGCTGTACAATGTTAAAAAGCACTAGTCATGTTCATGGGTATAACCTGGATCATTTCTGATTTTATGAGTGAGTCTCTGAAAACTGTAAAATTGGCTGCCCCTTGGTTTTGCACACACATATACACCAAATAAAATTTCCTTTATTCATTCTCTTCAGCCTCCAGTTCATTCCACGCACCATTGCCAAACTAATGTTCCTAAATCACCAATTTCATTGTGTCCTTCCGCTACCACAAGCACCTTCCGTGGTTCTCAATCGGCCGCTCCATTGATCCTAAGCTTCCCCATCCTCTGTCATCACCTGACATGGATCACCGTTTTCTCACTGCTTCCAGGCAGACACATGCCTTTTTGATCTCTCCTTCCTGCCCCAAATATTCTATCTTCAATTCTCATCTCTGGGCTTTTGCTTATGTTCTGGCTCCTGACTGAGACATCCTTCCCCAGTCCTATTGTTTTTCATCTTCCAAAGCCCTATTTTATTCCTCTAGTCTATGTTTTTCTTTCTCTTCTCCTAACTTCCTCAGGATGTACTCCTTTGTCATATACCTTGCTGCAAGTTGCTCATTTATTTATTCAGTCGACATTTATTGACTGCCAACTATATCCCAGCCATCATGCTGTTCTTCCTTTGTATCGTTAGTTTCTTTTTAAATGTGTCAGTTTCCAGTAGAGTTTAAGCTCCTTGAGAGAAGAGACATACTCCGTCTCCTCTTTCTGTGATCTAAGATGCCCAGACAGTCCTGGGCACAGGTAAGTGTGCAGTAAATGCTTATTGACTAATTGATCCCTAATGATTGGAGGGAGGGAATTTTCTGGTTTCTTATGCGTTCTGTTTGATTAGTACTTCAGAGTGTACTATACAGAGGTTATTATTTTGCAAAGTGGAATTCCATAAAACACTCCACTATAAAACAACTGTTAATATAATTTGACATTTGATATTTGAGGAGAGAATTCACTGCAGTCTCAGAGCACCCCAGTAAAGCTCTGTCGTCATTACACTGTGATGTGCAAGTAGGACATTCAGGAGGCTGACCTTGCCCTGGTTCTCTGACACGAGGAACTGGGGGTGAGGGTGGAAATGAGCATGCTCTGCTGTGCGGTAGGCTCCACTCCATGCCCTTACATACTACAAGTTTCATCTTTGAAGAAGTTTCTTGTAACAAGCTTTTCAAATTTTCTTTCACTTTTCTCCTGCTCAAAAATGTAGATAATGACTCTTCTGTGAGGGGGGAAGAATGTTTGGGACACTGGAGGCAGAGTGGCAGGGAGAATGTGAGACTGGAACAGTCTGGTCAAAACTAAACTCACAGGCCAGGCGCAGTGGCTCACATCTGTAATCCTAGCTCTATGGGAGGCCGAGGCGGGCAGATTGCTTGAGGTCAGGAGTTCGAAACCAGCCTGAGCAAGAGTGAGACCCCTTTTCTGCTATAAATAGAAAGAAATTAATTGGCTAACTAATATATAGAGAAAAAATTAGCTGGGCATAGTGGCGCATGCCTGTAGTCCCAGCTACTCCAGAGGCTGAGGCAGAAGGATTATTGCTCTAGCCCAGGAGTTTGAGGTTGCTGTGAGCTAGGCTGATGCCATGGCACTCACTCTAGCCTCAGCAACAAAGTGAGACTCTGTCTCAAAAAAAAAAAAAAAAACAACTAAACTCACAGACTGACAGTGCAATAATTGAGAGCAAAGACTCTGAAACCTATAGCCTGGGTTTGAACTGTTTCTGCTACTTATTTTGTGGGATTGGACAAGTTATACAACTTCTTTGTGCCTTATTTTTCTCATATGTTGAGATGGGGAAAACAGCAGCACCTACATCAAAGGTTCGATAGGGGGATTAAGTGAGTGAGTTCAGATGAAGCTCTTGGTCCGGTACTTTGTGAGCTGTCAGCAAACTATTATCATTATTGGAGAGATCACTAAGCAATAAGGTGAAAACTAGGTAAAGGAATTCCCTATCCTAATTCTTTGTTGTGTAGCATCCACTCTTACTCAGTTTCAGCTGTTTCTGAAGCCATGAGATGTGTGAGACCCCGAGTTAACTGTTCTGGTTTCTCAGTGAGATGGAGATGTGAATGAAGTCTGAACCTACACAGAGAATTTTAGGTTTCAGGGAGGAGTATTAGAGTAACCACTCAGCCTTGTAAGGGAAAAGAGTTTTAATCTGTTGGTGAAACAGATGGAACTAGGTTACCATTCTGATAGGAGTTAGAGAAAACAATTTGTGCAATTTGTCCCAGTAGCAGAGCAGGAAGGAATAGTGTGCATACAAATTCCTCTCTCCCCAGGGATGCTGCTGCATGCCTCAACCTGAGGAGTAGCTGATTATTTTGAAAGAAGGCAGCTCTCCAAGGAGCTAAGCAATCCTGTAGCAAGGGGAAGGACAATGCTATGCTAGATATGACTGTTGCCAGGAATTCTGAATGTCAGCATCACTTAACAGCACAGAGGTCAGGAGACAGAATTTGGAAGGAATTAATCCTGTGCCCATAAGGCACATTCAGGCATAAGACAAGACACACAGAATAGATAAAAATTCCAAAAGAAGTGATATATACCAACTATAAAATAGAGAGCCCCAGCATATGGCATTTTGGTTTTATTTCTGAGCTTGTAGGAACATTAAGAGTTTGGGTAAGAGACTCCCTTTCCCACAGAAAGCCTCTCCCCTCCAAGCAGGATGGCAACTCACTTGTACCCATTCTGTTTGTCCTTCAGCCCTGGCGGCTCAGGCCTACGCTCTGAAAGAGGAGAACGACAGCCTCCGCTGGCAGCTGGATGCGTACAGGAACGAGGTGGAGCTGCTGAAACAAGAAAAAGAACAGCTTTTCCGCACAGAGGAAAACCTCACCAAGGACCAGCAGCTGCAGTTCCTGCAACAAACCATGCAAGGCATGCAGCAGGTACCTGGGCCTGGTTGCTTTTTGAGAGAAAGGGGTATGTGTATTAAATGGAAGTGAAACGGCAGCTGTTTGCTGGGAAGGATGAAGAAGAAACAACAATTAAAGAGCTAAGTGCACGGGAAAGGCAAGTGCTAGTGACCATTTGTGGAAGGGCAGAGTCTGGAGAACAGCCAAGCTAATGGCATTTGTTGCAGAAATGCACCCTGGAGGTAGGAAATAAAGGAGCAGGATTTAGGAGATTGAAATGTTGTCTGTATATGAAATATAGCCTCATGGCAAATGGTTAGCAGGTCCTTGCCTATCGGTTGTGCACGGGTTTTGCCATCTGAGAAGTTTCAAGTTTGAAGTGTGACAACTGGTTTTCCAAAAGCAGTTTGTTTTGTTTTGTTTGTTTTCAAGGTTAGTGTAAATGTAAACTATATTGTTTCCACTTCTCCTGGATTATGCTTAGCATCTAGTCAGTTTCTGTGAACACACTACATGTTGAAAAAAATGTTTGTTGATGGAATGGGTGGAGCACCAGACTTTGGGCAGGGAGGTAGGTAGCTTTGGAAACAGAGCAATAGCTGTGCTTTTGTTAAAGAGTGCCAGACTTCGTCTCGGCATACTGAGCTTAAAGATGTACGTTTATGGCAATTGTTGGAGAGGAGATGAAAGCCATGGGCTTTGGAGTGGGGAAAAGGAACATGTAATGTTAGAGATAAGAGGTTGAAGGGAGAGGAAAATCTGAGTGATGACAGTGGAGGAATAGAATCAATAGAATCAAACATTCATAGCTGGATTTGTGTCTGAAAACACCAGGCAATACATGGTATTCTTAAGGTGTTTGGGCCTTTGAGTTATTTAGAGTAATAGATGATAAGTATATAATAGATGATAAGTTATCATCATCACACATGAGTATTCTTTAATTACCCCTCTGAATGTAGAAATTCAACCAATAGTTCCCCCAAAAAAGTTGTTTCTGTTTAAATAAGGAAAATGTGAATAGGATGATTGAAGGTTAAAATATGCAGTGAGTAGCATATTTTTAAAAATTCCTCCATCTTTATTGATTGGTCTCTAAGATCAGGAGCATGAACTGCCTACAAAAGTGTTTTAGTGATTACAGTTAACTACCACAGAAACAGGAGCCTGACAGGGGAAAATGATTGGGAGAGAGGGATATAAAAATGGAATCATGGATTGTGAAGTGAGCAAGTTAATGACCAAGTCACAGAAATTATGTCTTAAACATCTCCTGCTATTTTAAAGCAATTTTTGAGTCTTGGCTTTGAGTCCTAACTGGTTGATGTTCACAGTGTGTGTTAGACTAATCAGTGAAACTCAGAGGTCAGAGCCAGCCAGGAAAACGTCATTATAGTCATTGCTCAGGTCCCTGTACTTGGAAATCGATGTAACAGCTGCCATGTGAGGCTCCTGGCTTGTCCATATGCCCCAACATTGGGTGTTTGTCGGCGCCTTTTGCCAGCATGAGAGTCTGCCGGTTTCCCCAGAGGCCGTGACGCCAGACCTAGCCTGAAAGCTCCTATGTTACACTTCAAGCAACTGGACTCCTTTTCCTCCGGAAAAGATCAGCCAGTTGCTTTAAAAGTAGATAAAGCTGTTAAGGCTGTCAAAGAAAGAAGTCATAGGAGGCCAGGGTGAGCTGCTCGGCCAGGGACATGCGTGCCAGGGTCTCAGTGCAGGGACACTGAGGAGCTGGGTGCCTGACCGCAGAGGAGCAGTGTTCCATGGCGCCACCTGAGCCACAAGCCTCTCCAAGGAGAGATTTAGTTGTTGGAGCTCCTCGCATATTTTCGCAATCTCCTTGTCTGTAGGATAGGAAATGTACTTTAACATAGATAAAAATATAGTTAAAACAGAAATTTGTTGCCTCACAGTTCAGAAGGCTGCAAGCCCAAGATCTAGGGCCCAAAAGCAGGGATGGTTCCTTGTGAGGGCAGTAAGGAAGAATCTGTTCTCTGCCCCTCTGTAACTTCTGGTGGTTTGCTTGCAGTCTTCAGCCTTCCTTGCCTTATAGACACATCACCCTGCTCTCTGCCTTCATCTTCACAAGGCACTTTCCGTGTGTGTGTATGTGTGTATATGTGTCTGTGTCCAGCTTTCTGCTTTCGATGAGACACAGCTCATATAGGATTAGTGGCCCACCCTACTCCAGTATGACTTCATCTTAACTAAAGATATCTGCAAGGACTGATTTCCAAGTAATGTCACATTCTGTGGGACTAGGGGCTAGGACTTCAATATTTGGATTTGGGGTGGGAGACACAATTCAATCCATAATGGACACATAGTAGACAGTCAGAATATATGTATTGAATAAAGAAGTAATTGGCCAAAGGCGCAGAAGCAAGAACTAGCATGTAGCACAGTGCCTGTCAGGAGTGCTGGGCTGTGCGCTATGTGGGATCCTTGGACCATGAGAGCAAGGCAGGGCGTGGTGAGAACTGACACCAAGAGGTATGCGCGGCACCTCCTTTGCGCATGGGAAACAATCCATGGTGGCTGCTATGATTTTAATTTTTCCTGTTTGTTAGGCAGATGCCTGGCTCTCTCTGTGTCAACATGTCCTTAATATAGTCTTAAAATATAGGTGCTTTTTTAGGACTCACATTTCTACCATGTTCTACCATGTGTGAATAAATCACTACAACTTGCTAATTTGAATCCCACCACAAAGAATTATCCTGATTTTAAAACCTGCTTCCAATCTGCCCACTCTCCACTTTATAAATTGGAAAATCATGGTCTTGATGGAAGGCAACAGAGAGAGGGTCAGCCTCCCATCTGTCATCATTTCCACAGTCCATCTATGTCTGGGAGGTTATTTCCTCAACAAACAAAAGAAATAAAGGGCCTTAATGACTTTAGGAGTAGCAGACGATTTTTAGAATTGCTTTCAAGTTTAGCCAAAAAGTTGGTAACCTTTCTTCTTTTAATCCCTTAAGGCTATGTCCACTGACATCACACGGTTTTTCATGTGTCCGTGAAGAAAACATCATGGACAGGGTTCCCAAAAATGAAAAACCCTCGGGTGACTTTGAATGTTTCTTAGTTTACCCCTGTACTGCATGTGAGTCACAATTTAATAATATTAAAGGCTTCATACAAAATAGCTTGTATCCATGGTAACATGGTAGCCTTTCCCTGCTCGTGAAGTTAACCTGTCTCTGCCTCAGGGGTAGAGTGGTTTTTGACTTTCACTTAGGTATACAAGTAAAGAATATACATATTTTAAACTCTTATTTTCAGATTACCATGCTGAATATGTTCGTTAGGTTTACTGAGGTAAAAGTTATATACAATAAAAGGCATACAGTTATATGAATTTTGACATATGCATACAATCATGTAACCACTATCACCAGATAAATCGCTTCCCTCACCCATTCCCTCATGCCCCGCTGTAGTCAGCCCCACTCCCAGCAACTACTGATCTGTTTTCTACCCTAAGGAGAATTGAATAGTGTGCAAGCTGTTGAGTCTGGCTTGTTGTATTCGGCATTATGCATTTGAGATTAAACCATGTTGCTGTGTGTATCAATAGTTCATTTGTTTTTTTTTTTTTTTTTTTTTTTTTGCCTAGGCTAGTGTGAGTGCCGTGGCGTCAGCCTAGCTCACAGCAACCTCAAACTCCTGGGCTCGAGCGATCCTTCTGTCTCAGCCTCCCGAGTAGCTGGGACTACAGGCATGCGCCACCATGCCCGGCTAATTTTTTTTATATATATATCAGTTGGCCAATTAGTTTCTTTCTATTTATAGTAGAGACGAGGTCTCGCTCTTGCTCAGGCTGGTTTTGAACTCCTGACCTTGAGCAATCCGCCCGCCTCGGCCTCCCAGAGAGCTAGGATTACAGGCGTGAGCCACCAGGGCCCGGCCAGTTCATTTGTTTTTATGCTGACTGGAGTTCCATTGTATGCAAGAGTTATCATTTGTTTATCTAGTCACCAGTTAATGGACATTTAGGTAGTTTACAGTTTTACAGGCTTTTTGTTTAGACATAATTTTTCATTTCACCTAAGTAAATACCTAGGACTAAGATTGGCAGGTCCAATGCTAAGTGTTTTTAACTTGTTAAGAAACTTCCAAACTTTTTTCCAAAGTGTCTATACCACTGTATATTCCCACAGGGCTGTGTGAGAATCCAAGTTCTGCGTCCTCATCAGTCAGCACTTGGCATGGTCAGTTGGTTCCGTCTTTTTTACCCATTGAAGTAAGTTTGGAGCCGTATCTCATTATGGTCTTATTTATATCTAAATTCAATCAATATTTTTATTGTCATTCATGAGGATAGATTAATGTGTCCTATTTTAAAATTTAAATTTAAAATCAATTTAAAAATCAGAACACTTTTTGAAGCCTCATGTAAATCATATTGATAGGACTAATAAATATTAAGATAACAACAGGATACAATTGAAAACGGCTGATTATAAAACTAATGATGATTATGTCAGAAGGCTACTTAATAAATACTTTAAGCCAATGCTTTTAAAATAGTTTTAGCAAATCTAGTCTGCAGACCAGCTGTCCTAAGGCCAGTAAACCATTGGCCCATGTAGAACAGTGACTATTTAACACTCTTGGCTTGACGTTGGTAAGGCCCAGGGTTAGTCTGCTGTCTTGACAACTTTCAGCAAGGGAAGATCAGAAAAAAAGTATGGGGAAAGGAAGATTATTATAATCAACACCATTTTGGAAATTAAGTAACAAGTATTTTTCTCTTTATACTCCAAGTAGAACATATGTGTGATTTTTCTATATGGGTATTATAAAATCTCACTAATTTAGACTTATTTTATGGAAGACAAAGAAATATGATATTACTACTGTCCTAAAATATAAAATAAACCCCAGTTCATTTTGCCAAATGTTGGGCAAACGTCAGCCTTTGGAATCTAAAGTAAGGAATAAATGAAACTGTTTTGAAATTAGAACATCAGTGGGTGCACCTGACCCTTTGCATAAGTTCAGCATGTTCTCCGTAGTCTCATTAAAACTGTTCAATTGCTTAGTGAGATCTTTTTTTAGAGACAGAGAAAAGGCTTGTGCTCAATTCCAGTTCCTACAAACTCACATATAATGAAGTCTTAAGTTATGTGTCAAAATCAAGATAACAATCATGGTAGCAGGAGTGGTAACAGAAGTAGTGATGGTGGTGGCTGTGGAGATACCTTTCGGTGACTGTGGCAGTGAAGGTGACTGTAGTAGTGACAGTGGCTGTGGTGGTGACGGTGGCCCTGGTGGTGATGGTGGCTTTGGTTGGGGTGGTGGCTGTGGTAGGGATAGTGGTACTTTTGATGATTAGAAAGTTTTAGGAAAAGACAGATAAAATGAGCATATTTAAGAATATTTTATTATTCCTTGAAAACTATGGAAATCTTCGAAAGCGCAGCGGACCCCATGCTTCCAGCCAACCTCAGAAGGCAGTGCTCCAGAGAACTGGCCGGCCACCACGAGCAGGCAGGAATGCAGAGCAGTGTGACAACAGTTTGTCTGCAACAGAAGTCTCTCCTTTTTCTGGATCATTTTTCACTTTTGCTTTCTGTTTTTAATTTCTAACCAAGATACCCACCAGTCTGATAATGGACCTGCTAGGCTGGTGCTGTGTCCGTTATCTTTTCCCTAATATTTTATGTTTTAACTTTGTCTTGTATCCTTTATATTGAAGTTTCTTCTTCATAATCATATTATTTTATTTTTTCAAAAGTTTGTTTTGTTCTCTGATTAATTTTTTAGGCCTATGAATACAGTATCTGCTTATGTTCTCTGTTATTATCTTTTCATGCAATCTTATTTTATGGCTGCATTATCTTCAGAAGTGTTTTTTGAGAATACTAACTAGAATATTCAAAATTTCTTTTTGTTCCTCAATCATTTCTCTTTGTTCTAGGATTAGTTGTTCGGTTTTTTGTGTTTTAGTCTCTTTCTTTTATCCACAGACTTCTTTAAAAGTGAGGTGGTGGTTGGTAGCCTGTGCATATTTAGGTGAGAAGGGCTTGGTTGACTTTTCTGGGAAGCTGTGTGGGTCTGCGCATTGCTGTGCCCATGTCTCCTACAAGGCCGGGTCTTTCTCCTATGCAGGCCAACTGAGGGCTCATTGACTGGCAGCCTTTATTTAAGGATAGTTGAGGATCCCTCAAATGCCAAAATCTGTCACATACTAGAAACTCTCTGGAACTCCCTTCCTGTTCTATTTGCTTTTATAAATTTATTCATTGACAGACGTTTTAATTGAGTCTCTAGTGGAAAGACACACACACACACACACACACAGCCTCTGACATCTTGAACAGGAGCCTGTTTCAGGGGCTTTTAACTTTGACCCAGTCCTTGAATGAATTCTTGGTCCCTTGTGGTGCAGAGGGTGGGGATGGGAGGGTATTGCGGGTTACCCTGGGTGTCCACAAGCACTCAGGGAAGGAAAGCACGGCCAGCAAGTTTCCTGAATGTCTAAGAGAAAGGAACGAGGGAACTTACAGTGGCATATTTTGGAGTCCAGAGAACTGTCTCAGCATGAGGAGGCAAATGTGCAAACTGAAAGGGCTTTTGAAAGACACAAAGGAAAACAAATAGTCAGAAAATGGTGATTTGGAGAGGCTGAAATATGGAATAAAGAAAGATGGTGAACTTGTTCTCCACTCTATTTCTGTTGGCTTGTCCCGGAAGAGAGAAGGAGGCAGTCCTGATGGTCTGGAGGAGGGCAGGCCTAACCTACAGCAGAGAGTAGAGTCTGTTCCAGACAGAGGGTTGCACAGGATATGCAGAAATGATGGCAGATGCAGTGGGAAGAACAAACAGTTCTTCCTCTATCATTAAAAACATTTTTAAAAAGGAAAATGGCACAAGCGTAGAACAAGAAAAAGGGAAAAAGAGAAATCCCTTTAAAAGAAGAAATTCAAGTTTTTTGTGTGACAAATTATATTTTAAGAGCTTTTATGGAATAGAGACTAAATGTAGAATGTAAAAAACTAAAGATTGAAAGTCAGGAAATTAAGTAACAATATATCAAAAGGATCTGCCTTCTAGGTAGAGTTCATGAGCCTCAAAAATGTTTCGTTAGAAGGAAGAAATAGCACATACATGCTGATCTGGTTGTTGACTCATTCCAGAAAAAGCTTTTAGCAATATTATCATAAAATCTTTAATATAGGAAAAGTTATACATCAGTACAGGAAATGATTCAGTATCACTGGACAGGGCAAGAAAATCTCATTATTACAATGTAGAGAAAAGGGCTTTCTTTTTGACTCTCAGGTATAAGTAGTAAAGTCTTCAACATTAGAAAATTCTAAAAATATGTGTGTGTACAGGCAGGTAGTCATACACATATAAAAACCTGGAGTCTTTACAGCTACAGCTACAGCTGCAGAGACATACTCATGTTTATTTGATTCTATTTCAAATACCCAGATGAAGTTTCTTTCTTTCTGACTAGAAAACAATGCAAAAGACATTTCCCACCTTCATCTTAAAAGCCACTGACATTTTACTAGAATCATAAAAATCATAAAACATGTACATCTTTCAGATGATGTGACTTTAAAAAGGTTCAATGACTTAAACATTGAGGTTCAAAAGAGCCACTGAATTTGGGGTCCACCATGATCGTTCTTTTCTTTTAACTACCCCAGATTTGAATTTCCTTTTGTATCCATTCCTCAGCCAAGTATCTTGGGATGGTGCATTATACTAGCAGCCCACATGATGATAATCCGCATTTATAATTCCGTGGCACCTTTCATTAGACTGCTCAAGGTCATTTGTAGGGTTCCTGCTGGCAGCGTGAGCATTTCCTGACATTTGCAGAGTGCATTCCTGGTGCATCTGCAGACAGCATGTATCCCCCGCTTCAGTGTGAGACTCTTGAAGGGGTGGTTGGCTGCATGTGGAACCAGAAATAGAAACCAATTCTCCAATTCTTGGCCCAGGGCTTTACATCACAAAGCCCTACCTGTTTGAAATGATCACACCTGCCATCTGTTAGGGGGTTGAGAGTTTTCAAAGCACTTTCCCATTTGATTCTAGATAAGATACAGAGACTAAAAATGAAGATAATGGAGAGGAAACCTCCCTGAGTTTTGTTTTGTTTTGTTTTTAGCAGTTTCCAGAGAGTATCTTGCTGTCCTCACTGGACACAGGTCATAAGGTGAAGAAGGAGATAAGCTGTGTCCATGCTGCACTGGGCACGAGGAAGAAAATGAAAACACTGAAGTAGAAGGAGAACGTGGCCCCCGTTTGGCTGCTTTCTGTGCCACTCTGGGAAAGTCAGGCTGTCTGAGCCTCAAGTTCTTCACCTGGAAAATGGGTCCTGCCTGCCTCGGGAAGGCTTTGCTATAATAAAGTCATGTGTGATCATGTATGTGAGCGCATTTTGAAAAGCTGTTAAATAAATGCAAACTGTGATTGCCATATTCCAGGTGAAAATATGAAACTCTATAGAGGTTTGAAAGAAGACTCAGGATTCACAGAGTAAGTCTGGACAAGTCCAGGTCTAAATGTCCTCACCCTGGTGTGGCCTGTGTGTTTGCTCCTGTGCCCCTTACAGCAGGAAGGCCCAGTCTCTCCAGGTAACTCCAGAAGCAGCTTCCCATCATTCCACTCAGTCCTCTAAGCAACGCAGGAGCATGTGACTATCCCAGTTCATCAGGTGAGAAAATGAGACTCAGAGGTGTCGAGAGACTGGCCCAGGGCACAGGTACACCGCGTAGTGTAAGAACCACACAGCCCGGTCTGTCCAACCACAGCCCCTGTGTTCTCTCTCTTACCCCACAGCTTTCTGAAGTGTACTCTGAAAGTAGCGCTTCAGAACCACAGTAGTCACAAGAACAGAAGGCCAGGAAGTTCTATCCTTCATGTGCTCGCAGATTACTAAAAATACGATTGGCAAAAACCCACTGGCAGTTTTCTGACTCTCTTTGTTATAGCCCCTAATTTGGTTTTTGCAGTAGCAGAGTAACAGCTAGCAAAAGAAAAGTAACATACATGCAGCTTTTATGTATTAAATTTGAGTTGTGAAAATAAATCACTTCTTGGAAGGGAAAGAGAAGTCCTAATAAAATTTAACTATGAGCTGCTTCGTCTCATCATTAGTTATCCTGCTCTGCCATTAATTAATCTGATCATCAAATGCATCCTCATTAGTAATCATTCCTTCTCAAAATAATGAGGCTAGCAGACAAATCAATGTAGGAGCCAGGGGTAGAAATAATGGCATTGTCCTGCAGACCATTAAAATCATTTGACTTCTGCCTTTAGCTGCTTTCCTGACGTCTGCAGTGGGAAATCCTGAATCTCCAATAGACCTGCAGCTGTTCCCAGGAGAAAGGAACTCAGCTTTTCCCAACACTGTCTGTGGCAGTCGTAGGATGACCTTTGAATAACCTTCCCTTTCCACACTTCTTTTGGAAATTGCCTCCTGATTTATAGGCCATATCATACTATGAGTACCAGATTTATAGTGAACTGGATCTTTTCTTAAATGTAGTACATCACAACAGACTTTTGCTGCAGACACATACTGGCTTTCTACTATGTTTGACCATTGTTGTTGTTCTGCCTCCAGTCACAGACTCTAAAATGAATCCTTGTGGTCTGGCCTTGACTTCATTTCTTAATAGTCTGCCAATGCAAAGAGCCGACTCATTTGCACCGAATCCCTGAACCCTGCCAGCACTATGGCTGCTGTATAGAGCAGGTGTCCTGCTCCCAGCCAAACTGATGTAATTATCCATCTCTCAGATCGGGCCACAGTTGGGGGGCATGGTGCTCCAGGGCTCTCTCCATGCAGCTGGTTAGGAGAGGCAACTTGAGGATTAGGAAGACCAGCCAATTTCCTTCTTGTCAGAAAAGAAGGCTATGAAAAGAATGCTGGGAGAAATTTGGTGGGGGCGAAGGAATATAACATTGAAACAAAGAAGAAAGGAGAATTAGAGAAAAACAAATCCTCCTTATGTAAGAGAAAACTCAGAGAAAGAGAAATATAGGTAGAAGTTGCAGTTTTCCTGATTCTAGTTTTGTCATTTACATTTTTATTTTACGCCAGACATGGTGGTTCATGGCTGTAATCCCAGCACTGTGGGAGGCCAAGGCAGGAGGATCCCTTGAGGCCAGGAGTTCAAGACCAGTCTGGGCAACATAATGAGGCAACAACTCTACAAAAAATATAAAAATTAGCCAGTCATGGTGGCTAACACCCATAGTTCCAGCTACGTGGGAGGCCGATGCAGGAGAATCACTTGAGCCCAGGAGTTTGAAGTTGCAGTGAGCTATGATGACACCACTGCACCATAGCCCTGGACAAGTGAGCAAGACCCTGCCTCAAAAAGAAAAAAAAAAAATTTTTGTTTTATTTTTCCCTTTTTACAAAAAGAATATATGCTCAATACAGAAAACTTGGAAACATAAAAGAAACATAAAAGGAAACAAAAATCATTCAGAGTGTCAATTACTCAGATATAACTCTTGTTAATGTTTACATATAGGCTTTCAGTCTTTTTCCCTATATACCAATAAACATGCAGTATTAAATCATTTTTAAATATTAGCCAATGGGATAGCCAAAAACTTAGTTAAAGTTTCTAGAATTGCATCCAAAGTATAGAATTGGGAATTCAGTTCCAAGATGTTAAATGGTTAGTTAAAGACTGTTTTCTCCTCTGTTTAACAAAGCACCCTGAATAGTCATCAAGGGAAACTTAAAGTTAGTGCCCAATCTGGTCCTCACTTTATAGACCACCCATTTCACTCAATTGATCAGTAAAAACACCCTGCATCATGAAGTTCCTATCCACATTCAACTTCCTCAATTTGGGAATTACCTCTCTGGTTTTTGTGCTTTTTGCTTCTCTCTCTATCTCTGTCTCTCCCTCCTCCTCTCTCTCTATTTCCGTCTCCTCTCCTTCTCTCTTGCTTTCACACACACATACTCACACACAGAGATACCTTTAGCAAATAGCCACAACAGCTTCATTTTCTGAAAGTACTGGGGAAAACAGAAAAGGGCAAAGTATATTTGAACTTGGCTGTAGGTTTCCAAGGAAGGGGTGTAATAAGTAGTGCTTATAAATGAAAGACCAACACAGTACCCTTTCAGAGAGATCAAAAATTTCCTCTTTATTTTCTTCTTACCTTTTGTTCTCATAATTGATTCTGCTGACCCATCAAACAACCACATTTCATTTTTTATACCTTTTACCACCATCGCTACCTTAATTTATTTTAAGCCAGGTCTCAAGAGTTCAGTAAGAGCAGGCTTCATTGGCAAGCATGGGACACTCATTCATGATGTTGCATATGTATATTTCTACCCATGATTTACATTTCATCCCAAGTCATTTACTGAGCCAGAGGGTTACACATTCTTCAATCATTTAAACACAGGTGGTACTCCACAATTTTGCCCTTTGCTAATCCTCTGTATACCTCTTTTCTCTGGTGTTTGTATTTATGCCCTAGTGGTTTGTATTTCTTATCTTCAGTGCCACTCACAATTAATTTCAGGACATTTTTGTACTGGCCAACTGAAAAGTCCATAAAGGAACAATAAGCTACTATTAAGCTTGATCTACAGGACATATACAGAAAATCATACTTTTAAAATATACCTGGAATATTTATGAAATTCATCCCATACCAGGCTTTAAGACCAATCTCAACAAATTTCAAAAGAGTGGTATCATATTTCTGACCACAACAAAATTGTTAGAAATTAATGCCAAAAAATATAACTAAAATAAATCCTATATATTTGGAAAGTTAAAAACATACATCTAAACCCACAGGTTCAAAGAGAAACCAGACTTACAATTTTAAAATACTTGGAAATAATTGATACTTAAAATACAACATATCAAAACTTGTAGAATGGAGCTAAAACAGAGTTAGAGGAAATATTAAAAACTTTAATTGTCTGTTTTATGAAAAAAGAAAATTAGAAACAATGAGGTAAGCATCAAACTTCTATTAAAAAAGATAGCACGAAGTGTGAAAGCTAAATAAAGATAAGGGTAAAAATTACTAACATAGCAAACAATAGAGAAGATAAAGCCAAATGTTTATTTGGAAAGACTAATAAAATGGAAAATCTTTGGCAATATTAAGAAAAAAAGAGAACTACCTAATAAATAATACTATAAATGAAAATGAGGTATAACCAGAGATATGACAGGAACTAAAGAGACCTGAGAATATCAGGAATAGCTTTATGACAGATTTTTTAATGTAGGTGATACAGACAAATTCCTGTAGGAAAAAACACCATATCAAAATTGAGTCAGGAAGAAATTGAAGCCTGAATGTCTCTTTTTTAACAATAATTGAATTAGGAGCTTAAAATTTTATAGCAAAGCAACAGATCCCAGATTGCTTTATAGGCAAGTTCTACCAAACATTCAGGAAAAATAATACCAACCTTTGATAAACTCATCCAGAGAATACGAAATGAGGAAGCACTTCCCAACTAATTTATAAGGCTAGTATACTTGATAACAAAACAGGACAAGAACAGTAAAAAATGGGAAAATTACAGGCCAGTCTCATTTATGAACATAGATTTAGAATTCTTTTAGAAAAGCAAATTTAACCTGATCTTTTATAAACAACCAAATTGGATTTAGTCCAACAATGCAAAGTTTTGGTTCAACATTTGAAAAGTCTTATCAAGTAATATATCCCATTAACAGGTTAAACCAGAATAACAGAATTGTTTTCATAATTACAGAACATCAATTCATGATTTAAAACTAAAACAACCAAAGAAAAAGGAAGATTTTAGCAACTTGGAATAGAAGAGAATATTCTTATCCTGATAAAAATTTATCCACAGTGAACTCAGTGACACGTAATTTTTTTTAACCCTCCTAAACTAATCCCAATATAATCCCTCAATATAATATAATCAATTAGACTAGAATGCAACTACTTTATATCACTTGCTTTTTTTCATGATGTACATTTTCAAATTGTCATTAAGAAGCAAAGAAAAAGTTGCACAAAGTCTATTAGCAGACCCTAAAAATGTGGTCTCCCTGTCCTCTCCTTTTGAAAAGTCATCAACACTAACCTTGGTGTTATCTCTCCCGTTTCTACAATGCAAACTTAAGTAGCTGTATATCATGAATGGTCATCTTTCCTTTGCCATCATTGTTTGGAGCTGGCATTTCAGCTGACTTCAGCAAAACTTGTAACTGAAGTTTTCATTAAAAGGTGTGGGTAGACATCGCACATATAATGTTAAAATGCACGCAGTTGCTGATAGAGAGTAGGGGTTTTGCGAAGGCCAGGGGAGTATTTTACAGGCAGGTTGATATCGGTAAGTATGAAGTTATGGCTCTAATTTCTCTTAATTTTTATACCTTGGGAGCCATTTGTGCTGGTATCATTCATGGCCGTGCTGACACCATTTATTGTAAAGGGTGTGAGTAACTCAGCTCACTTCTTTAATGCTTCCTATATTTAATGTTTCTGAAGCAGAAAGATTAGTTTAAGATGATACTTTCCTGTTGCACTTTGAGATCTACGCAAGATGGTGGTGCTATATTATATTTTACCAGATATTAGCCCCAGATATTAAGAATATGTGACACATTTCACAATGGCAGTATTTGTTGCGGTTTTGTGTTGTTGTTGCTGCTGCTGTTATTGTTATTTTTCCTTAAAAAGAGTCTGCATTTCAAAGACAGGGCAAGCCTGATAGAGTCCGGAGGCCAAGTAGCTACCACAGGGTCACCTGCTGGGGGTTAGAAGTTTCTCAGGGAAACTGTTCTAGTCTGCTGCAGCCCTCACCTGTCCATCCCTGGAGTAGGGAACAAGTGAAACTGGGAGATCTCCAGGGATTCTAGTTACTCTGACACTCCTAAAACGTAGGGTTCCAGAAGAGCCTAAATGTATTAAAATAACTTGGAAACTTTGGGGTAGGGCTCAGACTTCCTCTAACTGTCACTTCCTTAGTGACAGATGAATATGCTCATTTATTTACAAATCTTATTCCAGATTCAAAGTGCTGAGTTCAGGGCTATTCTTTTCTTCTTACTCTGCCCCTAGATATCTGATTCTCCTAGTCATAAAAATGTAATATCGCCTTGTGTTAACAAAGGAAAATTGGGCATATTTCCCAATCACTAAAGTTTTATAATTATCAGAAGTTCAGTAATGTAAGTGAGAGAGACCTTCTAGATCCATAATAAGGAAAGTTTTCCATCCTTAGTCAGATATCTATGGCTTATATAAAGATAAAACCTTCATCTGTATTTGCTCTCTTTATTTATCTGCAGAACATGCTAGATAGTTGCAACTTTCTCACCATTAAGATTTAACTACAAGCTCTCTAGACTCCAACACATGTTTTTAATTCCATAACCACTAAGGCAAAAGTGGCTTTCTTAAATCTGCAACCAAAGAGGCCAGTAATGGTGGTAATATCTGTTGTTAATGCCGCTAGAACAAGCTATGGCTTGGCTTTCCAGTGACTAAACTGAACGAAGCCTAGATCACTTCGTGAAGGACACCTCCAAAGATGGCCATAGAACTTTAGTCACAAGTCACTCAGAGAAGGTTTTCAGGCTGCAATCTCAGATCCTGACTGGGTTATAAACCCTGCAAAGAAAGAACAAATCTCCGTTGGCCCTTGGGGCATGGTGCAAGACCCAGCTGTTCAATCAGGTTCTCGTTTGATTGAAGTAAATGAGCCAACCTGGCTGGAAAGCATGTTAATATTTTAAATTTCTACATTAACAACTGTACATGTGCCCAGAGGTTGGGGTGATGACCACCTCGTATAATTACAAAAAAAAAAAGTGATAAGAATAAATAAATCCTAGCAAATTGGATTATCATCTGCAGCGGAATTGCCAGCAAAGGCAATGGAGAGAACATCACTGATACATGTTCCTACTTCAGCAAGCATTTGACACCTTCTCTTGTGAATTGCACGAATGGTGTTAATTCGAGCTGGCTGGCCTGCATTTTAAAAATTGGCCAACAGAAAGTAGCCAGCATGGCTAGAGTGGGGATGGACAACAGACCTTTCTCTCTGAATATTATTCCCCAGTACTGCCCTCTCATAAGCTCAAAGTCACTTGACCTTGCCGGG